TATATATATATATGTATATATATATATATATGTATACATAACCTACCCCACCCCCTCTATCTACCTAGCTCACCGGCCTGTCGACCTATAACCGTCCTCGCCACTACGTGCCTGACCTACCTGCCTTGCTACTTGCCATACCTAACGACACTACCTACTTACCTATGTAGGAGGACGCAGGGGGTTTGCTTCTGCTGCTGCCATTGCCACTGGTTTTGTCGCTGCTGTTTCTGTTGCTTTGGCTTCCTTAGTCCTTAACAGGGTCAATTATAACTGGTATATCAATTATAACTGCATGGTATATATATATGTACATATGGGAGTTTCCGAAAATAGGGGACCCTAATATAGTACCATGCATGGATAGTAGGATCCTCATATATATATACATATATATATATATATACATATATATATACATATATATATATACATATATTCTAAGGGCCCCACAACATAAGGTATCCGTGACTTTCGGAAACTCCCATATGTACATATATATATATAGGGTTCAGGTTTGTGGCTATCCAGGTTTTGAGAGGACTTCGAAACTTGGTGGGGGAGCTTGCGAGGCTTAGTTGAGCTTTGGCACTACAATCACAATTGTGTATATAGATCAGGCTCTGTAGCTGGGATTAGCCCGAGCCCTGAACCCTTGAACCCCCCTCGACCCTAAACCCCTCATTGCCTGTGGATGTTGCCTAGCAACTCCCCGAATTCCCAAGAAACCCTATCGACCTTTCCAAAACCTGAACGCAGGGTTTCTACGTTAATTCCCAGAAACCCTATAGACCTCTCCAATGTGAAACCTGATTGCAGGGTTCCAAGAGGTCCTGATGGAGGGCTGCAAGGATTATATGCAGGGCTCGCTCAGGCTGTATCAGGATGGTTCAGGCTGTGGATTAAAGGCTCGAGACCTCCTGGTGGCTAGGCATAGAGTGCCCACAAACTATAGGATCAGCTCAGCCAGGCCCCTGATTGTCAATCTTCAAATCCCAAACTGATCGCGACAAGGCCCGTAGTACGTAGATTACAGAGAATTGAGAACGTATACTTTTTTTTCGGGACCATAAAAGCGTACTAGCCCGTACTGAGGCCGAATGTCGACATTTTTTTCAACATATGTCGACATTTAAACCGTACTGGAAACCGTACCCGTACTCAACCCGAACTTTGTCAACATTATGTTGAAAAAAAGCCGAACTCAGATGTCGACATCTACCCGTACTCGCTTACTTTTTCAGCGTGTCGCTTACTTTTTGTGCGCAGCCGCTTTGGCCTGCTCCGATCCTCGATCTCGATCCCTTAACAGGACTGCACCTCGAAGCTTGATTTGCCCGAATGTACCTCGACACCGATATATAGTAGATAGTCCTACGCAGGACACATATGGCGACGGCGGATGACAATGGTCGAAATGCAGTCGTTGACAAGGCCAGCGGCCAGCCCAATGAAGCTTTATAATCCCCAAGCTTAATTGCCGCCAATGCAGGTGGAGGGTTCGTGGCTCTGCATCCGCGAGATAGAGAACAGATTCTCGTCGACGGGCGAGGACAAGTGCCTTAGCTGCCAATATTATCGTGATCGAAGCTAAAGCCCTTCTGAACTAGATTGTTCGAGAGCTCCAAGCTTTGGGTGGTGCTTTCGTATATGAATCATACCACATATATATAGAGGGTTTATAGGGTTATATGGATATAGAGGTATGTAGTATATGAATATATATATATATATATATATATATATAATAGAGAGAAAGAAAGAGGTTGAGAGAGAAGGCTGTCGGGATCCGACGACGGGCTTTAAGCAGGATCTCTCGGTGTCCCGGCTATCAAAAGCCCTCGGTCTGAAGGTACCGATCCTACTCTAAGCCCCGTAATCCTCCAAACTGAAACCACAACCACACACCCTGAGACCCTGAACCAACAACCACCAATCAACAATAATTCAATTTAACCCGTATATAATTATATAATTATATAACCCAGAAACCCTCTTACCCTTCCTGAAACCCTACAGACAGTACAAAGTTTATATGCATAATTAATTAAATGACTAGGTATATATATATATATATATATATATAGATATGGATATACATGGCTTCTGCATGGGACATATGCAATATATATATATATATATATATATATATATACACATATGTTTCGTGGCCTGTGCAGGACCCAGGGGTGTGAAGGTCTTCATAATTCGTCTGGGGTTAACTGGGCTTGGCACATATTATATAGTACAGACATATACTCTTTAATGGGGTTCGGAGCATTGATTGGGATCACCAGGGTTTGCTGAAGCTCGTGGTCTAGTAGTGGACTTGGAAAACCCTGTATAATACAACCCCATATACGTCTATCTATCTATCTATATATATATATATATCTGTATCTATACCTTTATGTATATAATCTACCTATCTATATCTATCTATCTAGCTCTCTCTCTCTCTATATATATATATGTATATACATATATATATATATATAGCTGATAAATAAATATATAAATAAATATAATATATATATATATATATATATCAGCCCCGCATATGCCCCTGGTCGAAGCCCTTAAAACCCTATATACATATGTATATATATATACTAAACCCGACGACTTCTATCTAAACCCTATAAACCATTTGGCCGTGGCCCAGGTCCAAGATCCAGAAAATCATCCAGCAGTCGCAAAGCAGAAAGCACCCGGAGCGGCTCGTCCTGTGGACAAATCTTACTTAATTGGCTGTCAGGGGATTAAGGTGTTACATGGCTTGGGGGATGAGCGAACTTAACGTACATATGCTCGATCGAAATACAATTAAGTACACGCAGTCGTTCACACATGTGCTAGTAGTGCGGCTTATATGCAACTTGGAACAGCCCTTAATTAACCTTGATCAGGTCTGTGTTTGCACGATCTCAGGTTTCCAGATCAGAAGCAGTACTTCGTTATTACTCGCCAGTTCGAAGACTCGGGGCAGCATTATTATACTCGTGCACCATTATAATGTTAACGTTCTGACCCTTGTAAACCCTATATACACCCTGAACCCTAAGCCGCCAGCTAAGGAGGCCTATGACTGAGTCTGAGCCGGCTTGTGGGTGTGGAAAAATACCGATGCTTTGTGCACTATAGATGCGAAGAGTCGGTGTTGTGTGTCAACAATGCACGCAGAAAACAGACTCACGAGGCTGATGTCAGATGTTTCTAGGCTCGAAGGTGTGGTCTTGCTCAGACCTCGAAAAAGGAGCGCAGCAAATGGCCGGTCCCACCGAGTCGGACCTCGAGAAAAGAATCAAGGCTGGGTTGTCAGGTACATGCATATGGTCGTTCGTCCTGGTGGCTCGGTTCGTTTATTTGGTAGGAGCTACGATGCTACATCGATGAGAGCGCTCCCCCGGCGGCCAAGAAGCCCAAGCTGACGGATTCTGCCACTTTGCCAAATGAAATTATGTAGCCCCATAGAGCATCATACCTGAATTGCATGTACTTAACTCGATCCTGCAAACTGTAGGCTCCAATCCGTCTGAACCCATGGACACCCAAGAGTATAAGAGAGAGAGAGAGAGAGAGAGAGAGAGAGAGAGAGAGAGAGAGAGAGAGAGGAGAGGAGAGGAGAGGAGAGGAGAGGAGAGGAGAGGAGAGGAGAGGAGAGGAGAGGAGAGGAGAGGAGAGGAGAGGAGAGGATAGGAGAGAAGAGTAGTGAGGGAGCTATATATATATAGAGAGAGAGAGAGAGAGAGAGAGAGAGAGAGACAGGGAGAGAGAGAGAGAGAGAGAGAGAGAGAGCCAGGTATAAACCCCAAGAAACGCCCTAAGCCTTGGATGACCGTCTTAGGATTGAAGCCTTCTGAAATGGCAGAAGACAAGGAGGTTTGGTATCATGGGTTCATTATACTAATTTAGGGCGGGGTCTTAACTTGCTTTGAAGACGGATGTACTGTGCCGCAGAGGTCGCTTCGCAATGTAGTTAAAGGATGTGAGTCCTTCCTGATTTCGGAGGATACTTTACATTCTATTGTGCCTACTAAACCCTACATAGGCCGATAACCCAATAATGCACTCTTATCCTATCCATCACAAGCAAGGAACCGAAGTCCCTGGACCCGCTCTTCGCCGAGACCTTGCAAATGCCCAGTACGCCGGCTCCCTCGGCCCCCGCTACTCCCTCGTCTATGGTGGCTATGGCTAGGACTTCAAGCCCGGCTTCTGTGAGAACGGACAAGTCTTTCCCAAGACCAACGAAGAAAACCCCGAAACCCAGTGTGAAGCGAGAGCCGGGAAGCAGCCACGACGTTGCTGTGCCTTGGATGTCCGGGTATATACATGTGCATGCTGCATTTTCAGCATCCTGTGTGAGTATCACATCCGACAACCAAGGATGATGAAGCACTAGCACAGCTTCAGCAAGAGCAGCAACTGCTGTTGCAGAAGCAGCAGGAGTTGAACCGGAAGATGAACATGTTGCAGGCTGCCAAGGCAGCAGATCCAGCATCGAAGGCATCGTCGATTGCCGCAGCGAAGGAGAAGGAGATTGAGGAACCTGAGAAGAGCTCCGACGAGGGCGACGATGATGATGATGATAACGACCCCGACAAGGGAGATTGGGGATTGGGTACAACCTTATGCCCGAAAACCGGGAAAGTGCCAGATCAGCATATGGATCCCGAGCGCAGACTATTTGAGTGCTTTAATTCACAATCTCTGAAACTAGCCCATGTAAGGTTGTCAGTCTCGACGCCCTGAAGCAGCGGCTACGACGGGCGTGCAAGAGGCGAAAAAACGGGAAAGTCCCCGGTGGAGAGGCTGCCTTCGAAGCCTATCAAGACGTGGAGAACAGGAAGCAGCTCGCGAAGCTGCTGGTGGAAGCGAAGTTCAACGAGGACAGGTGAACTAGAGTTGTCTCATGCCTTTAACATGTGTGAAATGTACATTGTATTCTCTGAGATGTTTATAATCTCGACCCCTGCCAGAAGCAGTTCGCCATCAAGATGAAGAAGTATGTGACCAAGGAGAAAGAGAAAAGCCTCACGGTCGATGCAGGCTGGTACACCGAGCAGGAGATGAAGGACAAACTGGGGTATGATGCGTGCCTTTGATGACCTATGTAGCCCTATATTGAATTGCTTCCCTAATGTAGGATGTAGAATGTGCCATCTGAGGAAGACAATCAAGAAGATCGTGGACTACACTGCCAAGAATTTGAGCGTGCTGCAGCGGCCACTTTTCAGAAATCTACAGAGCATGGTGTGTTCAATTTACCCTATTAAGTAATTAAATATACTTAATTCGAGCCAATCCCTCGACCGATCCTAAACTATATACATATATATATGTATACAAATATATACATATATAGAATTGATAAAAATGGATAGATACATATATAAAGGCTGCAACCCGCAGGCGCAAACCTCGCACCTCCCTTCTACATATGTAGTTCTTTTCCGAAAAGTTCTGATCTTTGCTTCGACCCAATCCCCAAAACTCCGTGAACCCTCTATGCATATATGCACAAATTAATCCCTAGTCTCCTTCCACCACTCTAGACGCCTCGTGTCCCGCTTCGATTCACCACCTTGGAGCCACTAGTCCCAAAACCGCAAAACCCTAACCCTGATTCCCTATGTAAACCCTGTACCCTACAACCCCTGACTCCATGATGCCAAAAAAAACCCTATACATATATATATATATATATAACACCATAACCTCAAAGTAACTTTATAACCCCATGTATGTATATTCCTGAACCCCGACCAAATCCTAACTCCTGAATTTTCCAAACTAGGAAATGGAAGTACGATGAGACGATTATCCAACACTGGGTGGAAACCAGTTGGTCGGGTCAGCTTGTGCACAAAGACAATGAGAAGTCCGTCCATGAAGAAGAACAGGAAGCCAAGGACACCCCGAACCCCAGCCTGAGCTTCGAGAACGGTGGCAACCAAACAAATCCGGGTAGCGCCGCCGCTGGTGCCAATGAAGGAGATGTCATCTGGCCAATTAATTAAGACATGTTTTATCTAGAAATGTATATCTACATGCATGGATACAACCACATATACATAGATTCTTCTGTGGCTCCATATAAGGATCCAAGAGCGGCCCTGGAAAGGGCATGGTCGGAGATGTTGAGCAAGACCAACAAGCTTCGTGACAATGTCAACTTATTGCAGAACTGTGACATGAGTGATGTTCAGAAAAGGCGGGGATCGTAGTCGGACCGTATATACTCGATCATGTTAATTCTACGTACCCAGTATGTCGGATGCCATGAGATACCCTTAGAAGGCATGCTGATTCTATGCTGAAGCACGCGGATGCTATGGAGCAGCACTACGATAAGATGTCAATGCTCAAGGCCACCGCCAACATCCGTCTTTCGGAAAAGCTCCCCGGTAGCAATCTGAAGCAAGCTGTATACAGTATAATGATGACTTTCTCATGGCACCTGCTGCTTCTGAGGCTGAAGGATGAGATCATGATTGCCCTCGATGCGGCTTCTGTTTTGACTCTGGCTTCAATTAATGGGTTACTTCCGGTTGGGCTCTGTCTTGATCCCCGAGCCTTCGTCACCATCCAAGGGCATGCCAGTGCGTCAGCTTGGAGAGCAAGGTGGCCCCTTCCTTGGCAGAGGCCAAAAAGAGTGGCCCGAAGGCCACTAATGAGCCGAATACCAAGCCTGCCCCTGTTCCTGCTGGGCCTGTTCCTGGGTCGGGGCCTGGACCGGGGACCGCGAACCCTAAGAAAAAACCCAAGGCGAAGGCGAAGGGCAAAGCTAAAGCAGCAAAAGCCTAGGGCCTAGATCTGTTTTCGCCAGCGGAACACATCTGAATGTTTGTGAGTACCACTTACTTCGGTTGGCTAGATAGCAAACAGACTGCATGGTGCCATCATGGTGCATGAGGACGGTGTTCCTGCTACGTACAGCGGTTTTGATAATCGGGCCAATCACCTGTGAGGGAACGGCTGGAGTCCGGTAGGTGATCGGATGACAGAACCCTCGGGAGACTCACGACGGCAGCGCCAAAATTTGTGCCCTATATGCTGATGCATGCGGACTACATGTGGATTAGAAAGGGTTTATGCAGGGCTTATGTTTGTGGGGTCTAAAGGCCTTAATTATCATATATGTAGTCGATCGGGTTTAGGAGGTTGGTGTTCGTGTGTGTGTGTGTGTGTGTGTGTGTGTGTGTGTGTGTGTGTGTGTGTTTATAGGACCTTAAACCCCGATCGATCTGTACACATACCCTTGAAGTGCTGTAAACGAATATGAAATTCATAGAGGCTTCTAGATATTTCGACAGCACCCTAATAACTGCATCTATATAAGCCCCTCGATCCTCATATGAGGTCCACCACTGTATTATTTTGTTCCTGTTTCTTCGGTGCCCACAATCTAGTTATCTATCTATCTATCTATATATATATATATATATATAGGTTTATGTGGTTCCTATTCACCCGAACCATCATCATAACAAACCCTTAGAACACGACCTAAGATTTCTTGAACTTGGCAGTCGTATATGCTCGGTCCAAATAAATCTAATCACAATCCTCGCAACCTAGTGTGAAACCCCGGGCCCTGTGGGCAGGCTGTATTGTAGTTACGTACCCTGAACTTGAGCCCGAGATCTTCGTACCCACACCCCGTTACCTAGAAAGCCTTGCTATCTAATGAAATACCATCCGGAATCTTCTAAATTATCGATCCCATTAAGAGCCCTTTTGCCAGGTCAATTTGGGAGGATGGGCCAGGAAGCTGCGAGGCAGCTCGTCAGAGGAGCCAGAAACCCAGATCATCTGCAGCCTAAGGATGTGATAGGGCAGTCGGTATGCACATATATTCTTGCACGCGAGCTCTGTCAATCGGATGCTGCAGCGCTTTGGGCTGTCGGTTTCGAGCTTGGCATGCGCACTCTCGTGTCCTTAATTCTATATATTGCAACGATCGATCGAAGGGATTAGAAATATTTCACCATACCGTTTCTATCCCGTGGCGCAAATTTATAGGGCCTGCCATGGATGAATGGCTGGAGGAGCTCTTACTTTTTCCGAAGTACAAGCTCCTTGACAGAACCTATTCAGCTAGGTGTTGTCTGTCGGAAGTGGACATTGGTGCATAAACCCTGAATTCATTTGACTTGACAGGCCTCTGGGACCCCCGAACTCCGGCGACCTCCTGAAGTTTGCTAGCAGCAACATGGCTGATCATGGTCTATCGTTTTTGCATCCTTGCATCCAATGCATGTTAATTGTTGTTGATGCAGTTGACTCCAATCAAAGGCCAACAGGCTGTACCTGCTGTGCATTGGAAGTATCACAAGTACTTTGATGCCGAGATCCGTGCCCTACCCCGGCTATGTGAACTGTGGCATCAACTCTTAGCGAACAAGCAGATCTTCAAGATTGCACTTCCTGATACATCCTTCCCCAAGTCGCCGGGCGCAGTCTTTCGGGCTGCAGAGCAGATGATGGATGTCGCCTCTTGCCTTATGCAATTAGCTGATGGTGCTTATCGTTCTAGGGTACATGGACTTTACACACTGGACAACTCAGGTTCTCACTGGTACTTCCGTGGCGGCTTACAAAATCGGTTTCACCCATGATCCTTATGAGAGAGTGCAGGGGTACCTTAAAGACGGATACCACCACATGCATTTGTTACACATATCAGCATCGAGCCTGATTTGCAAATGCATTGAAGCTCATCTCATCAGATTGTACAGGGGCCGACAAGGCTGCTTGAACGAAAGCCTCGGAGGCGAGGGTCCGGATCATTTTGATGGCCCTTACTTTGTCTATGTGTCTTTGAAGGTCGTTCAATAATTCGATGATCAGGGATCCAAAGCCCATGTGAGTGGGGAGAGTGCTCACTGTGCCGCAAAACCGATCGTTTGCCTCGAATGCCAAATGCATGTCTTAATACAACTTAATTGTACTCTGCTGGCCGAGCTTAGGCCACTGGCAAGACCGTCTCTGCCTTCGCTCGTGCAAGCTGCTCTAGAGAGCGTGGCCAAGATGCAGTACTGGATAGTCTGGCGAAGACATCAGAGAACAGATTGGAGGACAAGAGCCACGAAGTGCAGCTAAGTTGCAAGCAGCAGTAGATGGTGTCATCACGGCCATCGTGTTGGCTCGCTCCGTAATTTATATAGACCCAAACCCTACCCTCAGAAGTGAGGTTCAATCACTATATATATATATATATATATGTAAACCCAAACCCTTCAGAAGCGAGGTTCAAGCGCTATGTACGTAAACCCAAACCCTTCGGGAGTGAGGTCCAGACACTATATCTACTTAGATCCAAACCCTTCAATTTAATTGAGGTTCAAGCACTATGGGCTGGCCCTCGACATCCCCATATCCTACGTGGACGTTGGTGATGCGAAGAAGAATATGCCGTGGATCAAGCCGACTGACTTATTCCAACATCTAGCTGATTTGGGCAAACTTGACTTGCTGTATGCAGAGCAGGATACGAGCGTCTTGACACAGCTCCCTCGGCCTATTTCTGGAGTAGTTTCCAACTCACATGCAATGGTAACTTCCGTTTCTCTAGGTTCTTATAAGGGTTCTTGTACGTATACAATACAGGTTCTTATATATATATATATATATATATATATATATTTAATGTTAAGTTTTGAAGGGTCTTAGGGTTCTTAGGGTTTTGTGGATTTCGGGTTCTTGAGGCGTTGGGGTTCTTAGGGTTTTAGGGTTCTTAGGGCTTTAGGGTCTGTAGGTTTGCGGTTCTTAGGGTTTTAGGGTTCTTAGGGCTTTAGGGTCCGTAGGTTTGCGGTTCTTAGGGTTTTAGGGTTCTTAGGGCTTTAGGGTCCGTAGGTTTGCGGTTCTTAGGGTTTTAGGGTTATACTTATATAGGGTCCTTATATATTTATGGCTTATATAGTTAGGCTTCTTAAAGGTTCTTAGGGTTTCATAGGGTTCTTCTAGGATTCTTAGGGTCCTTAGGGTTTTAAGGTTTTTAGGGCTCTTGAGGATGCATGTCGATAATACTACAACCCTCTAAACCCAGCTTGCACGATGTGTGCAGGAGGCAAAGGCTTTCTCTCGATCGGATCTCCATATACAAATATGATCGAGGTTATACGCTGCGATCAGTGTCCCAAGCTGATAAATATTTGCAATTCCAAGCTTATATAGATATAGATATAGATATAGATATAGAGATAGATATAGATATATATATATATATATATAAATCATCAAATAAAGCTAATTGAGTAATTTCTCTGAGCCCCCTTAGTAAACCCTACCAACCCTTTAATGTGCATATATGGGTATAAGTCAGCAGGTAGGGCTTGTAAGGTTGGGTTTTTTTTTCGCTCACATCCAAGGTTCTGGGCAAGGTTTGCCGTTCTGGAACCTGGGAATACAATCAATGATTGTTTCGACTCCGGACTCTGCGTGCCAGAGCGAACAATCCCACTGCTACTTCACGGCGACGAGGCTCGGAGCAAGAAACACCTACCGATGATGGTCGCCAACACACATGCAATGATCGGCTATGGATGCAAGGCTTACAAGAACTGGTTCGCCGAGGCTCCTCTCTCGAAAAAGCAAGCTGGTGGTGTGAATCTTGAAGGCGCCGTTCAGAAGACTCGCTTTTTGCACTTCGTCATGCAGAAAAAAGACTACGGCGAGGACGCCCAGCACCTGGACAAAATGTTCGACGCCTTGGCTATCGACTTGGCGAAGCTGCAGACGGAGGGCATCAAGGTGAACGGCGAGAGGTGGCACCTTGTCGTGATAGCGGCTGTCGGAGATTGGCAATTCTTTGCCAAAGTGGGACACCTCAATCGATGCTACACTCACGTGTCCAAGCGATCTGGCCAGAAAACACTTAATGGGATTTGCCACCTGTGCCTTGCAGGCACGCATGGCTGCCCTACCTGGGAAGACTTCGTGGATTCGCCGACTTGGAGACCGACTTGCGGCACACTGGAGCCGTGGGAGCAGACGCCGTCGCTGATTCGCCGACTTCATGTCAACGTTGCGAACAGGGTGTCCTTCTTCCAACCTGATTTCTGGCACTGCTTGCACCTGGGCGCAGGCAAGAATCTGGTTGCCAGTGCTGTTGCTGAATGGCTCCGTGTGGTGCCCGGCCGCTCGGATCTTCAATGCCTATACACATTTTTTCTTGCATTTGTTTGCAACCCTATAGAGGACCTAGAACCCTAACCCCCTAGCTCAATTGAAGCTGTGAACCCTAAACCCATGTAGCCCTTTCAACTCTGGGGCTTCGCTGGCTCATTAACATTTTTCTTTGTCTTGGGTGCTCATAGGGCTTTCTAAGGTTTATATAACTGTTATAATTTTGTTGGTTCCCTCTTTGGTCGTACTGGTAATAAGTATTTAATTAGGTTAGGCTGGTTTTGTGCCGGCCGGGTTCAAACATAGTAGGGTCGGTCAAAATATCCGAAGGTGCCAACATTGGCGAGCGCTTCTGCTTCATAGATGATGCTGCACAGGCATGGCTCCGCAGTCGCAGCGATAAGTTGTATTGCAAATGCATCTCTGCTGTGACAATGGGCATCGACAGTTTGCAGAAAGTGCCAACCGCTGGATGGCAGAAGGCCAGCGACACCACGCTGCTCTTGGAGTTCCTTGAACACTTTTGCAGTGTGAACGCAGGCCTTGCAAATGCTGATCCGATCCTGCGCTGGACGTGGGTGGCTGCCTCGAACATCAACCTCGCCGTGCGTATGTTGTATCGGGGCGGTCTCTGGCTGGATCAGAGCACGGCACACACGGTGGCCCGCTGCGGACTTAATTTCTTGAAATCTTACGGGCACCTTGTGGCGATGACGTTGGCGGCGGACAGGGACAGGTTCCCTGTAACACCCAAATTGCATATTTTGCACCACTTGTTTTTGCACTTGCAAGAAAATGCTTCAAGATGCTCCTGGACACTATCCTTTCTTGGCTATTCAGTGCAACAAGATGAAACTTTTGTTGGCATACAGGGCAGAGCGAGCAGAAGAGTTGGACCCCAGCATGCCGCTCTCCGTGTTCTGCAACGCTATCTGGTGGACGCAGCAGAGCACTTGACGCCGGAGTTCCGCTTGGCCGCCAAAAAATTCGAAGGGGCCGAGGGCCCAGAGCAAACCCGAAGCCTGAAACGCCTTCGAACCCACCACTGGTAGGTTCCTTTCGGGGTTCTTAGGGCTGTAAGGTTCGTAAGGTTTTAGGGTTCTTAGGGTTTTAGGGTTCTTAGGGTCTTGTAAGGTTTTCATATTATATATATATATATATATATCTTTTTAGGGTCTTATATAGGGTTCCAAGGGATGTCAATGACTCTGCAGCCCGAAACCAGGCCGAACCTCCTCAGCTCCCTGTGTATAGGGTTGATAACAATTATAATAACTTTTATATGGCTTTTGTTGGTAGTCAAAGATCGCTCAAGTCTTGCGGTCTCCTCGAAACTGTCCACGATCCCTGCCAGATTCCGAGCCCCCAATCTTAAATCCCTGAACCCTGAGCGAGCTCAAATAGGTCGTTCGAAGTTTCGTAGGACGATTATGTAGCCGAAATCCCCAAAGACCCAAACAACCCAAGATTCTCAATCCCAACTTCTGGCCAAATCGCTGTAGGGAGGATCCCAAACCTTGCAACATTATAGGACCCAAACAACCCTGTAACACTTGAAACACCCAAGCAACCAGGGATGCTGAAGCCAAGGGCGCTCGAAACCTCAATAAGACTCCCAGGTCCCTGTAATTCTATATGAACCTGAAGCTCTCAAATCAACGTCTGATAACCTCAACCCGAAACCTACGCCGAAGCCTTATAAAACCCTATACACCCCGAAGCGTAAACCCTGAACCCCAAACCCTGATCGAACCCTAAACCCGAAACCCTCAACCCGGAACAACTGTATGACCATTATGAGGACTTTTGTTCAGCGGTTGTTTTCGGATGGTTCAAACCCTGAACCCGAAACCCGCTAACCCGGAATAACTAGACGACGATTATGGACTTGTGTTCGGTTTCGGTTGGTCGAAACCCTGAACCCTAACCCGAAACCCTGTAAACCTTGTACAAGAGAGAGGTGTTTTCACTGGTTGTTTTAGGATGGTTGTAGCCCTGAACCCTATAAACCCGAATTAAACCCTTAAAACCTTTTTTACGGTGGTTGAAACCCTGAACCCTAAACCCGAAACCCTATATAGAACCTTTGTACACGAAACACGTGTTTTCAGTGGTTGTTTTCGGATGGTTGAGTGGTTGTTTTGGGAAGGTTAAGAGGCCCTCGTTCAGTGTGTTCAGACAGACTAAATAAGAGATCTTCCGCGTTTACTTTTTTTTCGACCCGAAAAAAAAGTAAACCGAATCCCACGAATAGAAAAAAGTATCCGGACGTATCTACTGGTTGACTTGTAGCAAGCAAAAGCGGTCCTACATGCTCAGCAAGCGGCATTTCGCGGAGATGTTGATTTCATCGTGCTTTCGTCGCAGCGACAAAAGCTTTCGCAACCTTGACGTGGTGTATTAGCGTGCTTCGCTTCGTAAGTGCAAAAACGCGAAACAACGCATCCCGCAAACAGCTGGAGCGATCTCAAACGCTCCGCCTAAAGTGGTCGCTTTCTAAATACAACGTTAATATAAAAACAGCATTTTGAGGGGTCCGGCAGGGGAGTCCTAGTTTTGGTGTTTTGCGAGCTTAGGCAAACATTTCGTTGCGATGCCTGATGATTGTGCTGCTTTCGCATACAGCATGCTTTTGCCGACGAGTGCAAGCACTCGTGTTAGTGTGTCGTAAACATGTAGCTCCACACCAGCGACAGTCCACGTACCGAACGTAGACTTTGATTTGTAGCAAGCGAAAGCGGTCCTACATGCTCAGCAAGCGGCATTTCGCGGAGATGTTGAAATCATCGTGCTTTTGTCGCAGCGACAGAAGTTTTCGCAACCTTGATGTGGTGTATAAGCGTGCTTCGCTTCGCAAGTGCAAAAACGCGAAACAACGCATCCCGCAAACAGCTGGGGCGATCTCAAACGCTCCGCCTAAAGTGGTCGCTTTCTAAATACAACGTTAATATAAAAATTGCATTTTGGGGGGCCGGCAGGGGAGTCCTAATTTTGGTGTTTTGCGAGCTTACGCAAACATTTCGTTGCGATGCCTGATGATCGTGTTGCTTTCGCATACAGCATGCTTTTGGCGACGAGTGCATGCACTCGTGTTAGTGTGTCGTAAACATGTAGCTCCACACCAGCGACAGTCCACGTACCGAACGTAGACTTTGATTTGTAGCGAGCGAAATTTAAAGCGGCCTACATGCTCAGCAAGTGGCATTTCGCGGAGATGTTGACATCATCGTGCTTTTGTCGCAGCGACAGAAGTTTCCTCAACCTTGACGTGGTGTATAAGCGTGCTTCGCTTCGTAAGTGCAAAAACGCGAAACAACGCATCCTGCAAACAGCTGGAGCGATCGCAAACGCTCCGCCTAAAGTGGTCGCTTTCTAATACAACGTTAATATGAATTGCATTTTGGGGGGGCCTGCAAAGGGACTCCTAGTTTTGGTGGTTTGCGAGCTTACGCAACATTTCGTTGCGATGCCTGATGATCGTGCTGCTTTCGCATACAGCATGCTTTTGGCGACGACCACATGCACTCGTGTTAGTGCGTCGTAAAAATGTAGCTCCACACCAGGGAAAGTCCAGGTACCGAACGTAGACTTTGATTTGTAGCAAGCGAAAGCGGTCGTACATGCTCAGCATGCGGCATTTCGCGGAGATGTTGACATCATCGTGCTTTTGTCGCAGCGACAGAAGTTTTCGCAACCTTGACGTGGTGTATAAGCGTGCTTCGCTTCGTAAGTGCAAAAACGCGAAACAACGCATCCCGCAAACAGCTGGAACGATCGCAAACGCTCCGCCTAAAGTGGTGGCTTTCTAAATACAACGTTAATATAAAAATTGCATTTTGGGGGGGCCGGCAGGGGAGTCCTAATTTTGGTGTTTTGCGAGCTTACGCAAACATTTCGTTGCGATGCCTGATGATCGTGCTGCTTTCGCATACAGCATGCTTTTGGCGACGAGTGCATGCACTCGTGTTAGTGTGTCGTAAACATGTAGCTCCACACCAGCGACAGTCCACGTACCGAACGTAGACTTTGATTTGTAGCAAGCGAAAGCGGTCCTACATGCTCAGCATGCGGCATTTCGCGGAGATGTTGACATCATCGTGCTTTTGTCGCAGCGACAGAAGTTTTCGCAACCTTGACGCGGTGTATAAGCGTGCTTCGCTTCGTAAGTGCAAAAACGCGAAACAACGCATCCCGCAAACAGCTGGAGCGATCGCAAACGCTCCGCCTAAAGTGGTCGCTTTCTAAATACAACGTTAATATAAAAATTGCATTTTGGGAGGCCGGCAGGGGACTCCTAGTTTTGGTGGTTTGCGAGCTTACGCAAACATTTCGTTGCGATGCCTGATGATCGTGCTGCTTTCGCATGCAGCATGCTTTTGGCGACGAGTGCATGCACTCGTGTTAGTGTGTCGTAAACATGTAGCTCCACACCAGCGACAGTCCACGTACCGAACGTAGACTTTGATTTGTAGCAAGCGAAAGCGGTCCTACATGCTCAGCAAGCGGCATTTCGCGGAGATGTTGAAATCATCGTGCTTTTGTCGCAGCGACAGAAGTTTTCGCAACCTTGACGTGGTGTATAAGCGTGCTTCGCTTCGGAAGAGCAAAAACGCGAAACAACGCATGCCGCAAACAGCTGGAGCGAATTCAAACGCTCCGCCTAAAGTGGTCTAATACAACGTTAATATAAAAATTGCATTTTGGGGGGGCCGGCAGGGGAGTCCTAATTTTGGTGTTTTGCGAGCTTAGGCAAACATTTCGTTGCGATGCCTGATGATCGTGCTGCTTTCGCATACAGCATGCTTTTGGCGACGAGTGCATGCACTCGTGTTAGTGTGTCGTAAACATGTAGCTCCACACCAGCGACAGTCCACGTACCGAACGTAGACTTTGATTTGTAGCAAGCGAAAGCGGTCCTACATGCTCAGCAAGCGGCATTTCGCGGAGATGTTGAAATCATCGTGCTTTTGTCGCAGCGACAGAAGTTTCCTCAACCTTGACGTGGTGTATAAGCGTGCTTCGCTTCGCAAGTGCAAAAACGCGAAACAACGCATCCCGCAAACAGCTGGAGCGATCGCAAACGCTCCGCCTAAAGTGGTCGCTTTCTAAATACAACGTTAATATAAAAATTGCATTTTGGGAGGCCGGCAGGGGACTCCTAGTTTTGGTGGTTTGCGAGCTTACGCAAACATTTCGTTGCGATGCCTGATGATCGTGCTGCTTTCGCATACAGCATGCTTTTGGCGACGAGTGCATGCACTCGTGTTAGTGTGTCGTAAACATGTAGCTCCACACCAGCGACAGTCCACGTACCGAACGTAGACTTTGATTTGTAGCAAGCGAAAGCGGTCCTACATGCTCAGCAGGTGGCATTTCGCGGAGATGTTGAAATCATCGTGCTTTTGTCGCAGCGACAGAAGTTTTCGCAACCTTGACGTGGTGTATAAGCGTGCTTCGCTTCGTAAGTGCAAAAACGCGAAACAACGCATGCCGCAAACAGCTGGAGCGATCGCAAAGGCTCCGCCTGAAGTGGTCGCTTTCTAAATACAACGTTAATATAAAAATTGCATTTTGGGAGGCCGGCAGGGGACTCCTAGTTTTGGTGGTTTGCGAGCTTACGCAAACATTTCGTTGCGATGCCTGATGATCGTGCTGCTTTCGCATGCAGCATGCTTTTGGCGACGAGTGCATGCACTCGTGTTAGTGTGTCGTAAACATGTAGCTCCACACCAGCGACAGTCCACGTACCGAACGTAGACTTTGATTTGTAGCAAGCGAAAGCGGTCCTACATGCTCAGCAAGCGGCATTTCGCGGAGATGTTGAAATCATCGTGCTTTTGTCGCAGCGACAGAAGTTTTCGCAACCTTGACGTGGTGTATAAGCGTGCTTCGCTTCGGAAGAGCAAAAACGCGAAACAACGCATGCCGCAAACAGCTGGAGCGAATTCAAACGCTCCGCCTAAAGTGGTCTAATACAACGTTAATATAAAAATTGCATTTTGGGGGGGCCGGCAGGGGAGTCCTAATTTTGGTGTTTTGCGAGCTTAGGCAA